TCATTTATGCCACTAGCTGTGATTACCTTAACATCTTTGCAGATACGAGATAATAAAAAGCCAAGAAAAATGTTTTCTGTCCCTAGCAATTTGTGCTGCTTATTAGCCACATCGGTGTATTGATGGAAAATATTAAAATCATAAATTTTTTGAGAGCTGATAGAGAGCTTGGGGATTATCTCATCTGGAGATTCCTAATCTGGGGCTCCGACAGAGCTACTTTTTCCAATATTTTTAAAGCCTAATATAAATTATACATTGATCTATGCTGTAAATACACACACAGGGAGAGAACCATTTCCCAGAAAATTTGAGCTCGGACAAAATAAGAAAATTCAGATCAAAGAAGTAGGAATAACAATCAAAGATGTTTGAGGTGGTATTTTCTGGTCCTCTCCTCTTCATACATAAGGGAATTAACACTAAATGTTTTTCTCATGGTGGCGCAGAATGCTGGTGTCAGGATTCCTAAGCCATTTACTGATCTCCATTCAGGATCCTTCCCAGCTTACCTTCTCATTACAAACCATCCTAAGGTGGAACTAATTCTTTGTGGTCACACTAGTCAGAGCCTCAGAATTCTGTCCCTGGATCAAAAAGTGCCCAGGTAAGAGTTTCAAAGAAGTGGACCCTTATTTTAGTTACCGGCTTCCTGCTACCATGTTACTCTCTCTGATGCTCATTGCCATCTGTTATTTTTGACCTGATTTCTTTGGATGTCAGTGTTAGACTTCTGCCTTCTGGGTAGGTAGAGTCTGTAACTGTTATTCGCTAAATGACTATGCTATTTAGTAAAGACCATGTTTACTAAATATCTATTATGTAATAGCCATTTTATTAAATACCTGAAACACATAATTCTTTCAAAGCTAATAACAGTTTCAAGAAATTCTGGGAAATAAGACTTATGCAAGTTAAATCATTGGACTGAGCTCACTTAGCTTCTGAGTATCTGCTTTCATTATATTCAGGCATCCTGATCCTAAAACTGATGTATTTGCCATACAAAATGCAAACAACATGGATGTAAACAAAATTACATTTCTTTACATTATCAAAATAATACAAATTGTTTTCTGTCATTCTTCCATTCATCGTTTCCTCTCCTTTTTACCAATTTTGTGTCCACTATCTTAAGACCTTGCCTAAGCAAAGTCCTGCTCTTCCTTCATGGCTTACGTATATGTTACAGCTTTAGAAAATCTCTCGAAGCAGCAGTGAGATTGAATAGAATTCAATAATTTAATAATTTTTAACAACAATGTAGAGATTACTAGATTACAGCAATTTAGTAAACCTTTCTTCAAAGGCTATCTGTATTTTAACAAAGATAAGGCATTAACTCAAAAGGATGACTTTGAAATAATATAATTTCTGTAGGGTAAAGTTATAAGGAACTATATGTCATATGTGGGATATACTTCAGGGTACTATCACATAAGCAGTGCATCACATAAACAGTTTTTCCATTCATGCGTCCAGCCAGATATGTGGGGTTAGAGAGAGACTTATACATAAGGTAGTGAAGGAGTTTCATCTCTGGGACCATAATTAGGTGACCTGGGCTCTGGGATTTTTTTTTTTTTTTTGCTTATTCATTCAAAGATCTGGTATTTTTTGATGAGATATAAAGAGAAGAACACAGTCATGGCCCTTGTGTTCAGAGATCATACAGTTTCAGGTGGGAAATAGAGACTGACTGAACACTTACATATGGGAAGTGACTCAGAATTAGATTTGTCAAATGAGAGGCTCTGAAAGAATAGATCAGAGGAACGTCATCCAACCTGCAGTGGTCAGGGAAACAATGGGAAGCCATTGAAGGGTGTGGCTGGGTGAGTGACAAGAACCAGATGAGTGTCTTATTTTAGACATAGCTTCTCAACCAACATCTTATTTTCTTCTTTTGTATCTAAGCTGCCTTAGAAGTTTTTTTTTAATAAGCTGAATTTTTCATAATCCTCCATTTCTTTTAAACAATTTGTACTACAAAATATACATGCACAATTAAGTATATGAGATCAATATGAAAGTTGAAATATAAACATGGATTAAGAAATATTAATTGCCTCCAACTAAGGATTCTTCAGTATAGATTATAAGTGTATCTGCACCTGTAGATATAAATAGGCCTTTGTCTTTACTTCCTTCTCACCTTCTAGATGAAATAATTTGAATTTTATTATGGTGTCTTTTATTATAGTGTCTATAGATATAAATAGGTCTTTGTTTAGATATAAATAGGTACTTTTATAATAGGTACTGTAGATATAAATAGGTCTTTGTTTAGATATAAATAAGTACTTTATAGGAACTGTAG